TTTAATAGTAGCTCGCGGAGATGATTTGTCAATTCATTCACTTCACTTCATCCACCGCGTTTCTAACGAGGATAATTGGAATTATTGTTCCAATATTTGCGATGACACCTCTGCTATTTTTAGGTCATACGTGGATCCTGCTCTTTGAAGTGTGTCGATATTTGCGTTGACATTTGTGTTAACGTATGCTTTGACATCTGCGACATTGCAGCCAAAATCATGTATATAAATTAAGATATCTTTATGAAACTTGGTAGACATGTTTCTTGGTACCGTGAGACGGTTGGTAAAACACAAATAAATTGCCATAACTAAGCTCAACAATAAGATACAATACTGTTATTTGGTATACAGGATCACATTATAAATGCTTTTGGCACCTCTATCGACTGTGTAAAAATGGGTGAAATCGGGTAACAACCCCGCACACTCCTCATATAACGGTACGTTTAAAAACTACTAAAAGTGCGATAAACCAAGCACTAAACACGCCAGAGACATTTAATTTTATCTCTGGGATGGTATGAGATGACTTTATAAGAACCGCGTTCAAAATAAGATAATGGGCGTGGCATCGCACACTTTTAGGTGAATACACATATCTTGGGATCTGCTTAACCAAATTCAACTAAATTCGGTACATTCCTCTCATATTTCTATGTTATGGTGCGAAAATGGACGAAATCGGATTATGTCTCCGTCTATTTCCCAGATAACACCATTTTAAATTCCATCTGATTCTTTCACTTTCCGCTATGCACATCAAGCAACAATGATTATATCGGGGTAAAACTTTGGGTGAATAATGCATTTCAAGTATCCCACCTTGTGACCAAAAATTGTAAATCGAACTAAAACTGTTCAAACCAGTGCCTATAGTTGACGTTTTGCCGAAAATATCGGCCAATGTGTAAGATATATAATTGAAACTTAACTAAATAAATGAATAGATAAATTCATACTCCATAATAGTATGTTTTGTGTCAAAAATGTGTTAAATCGGATCAATACTTCCTTTAGTATAAAATTTTGCCAACACCTGAAGTAATTTCCCGGGCTTTGATCCGTGCAAGTTGCGAGAGTTTACAATGTTCGGTTCCACCCGAATATAGAACTCCCTTACTTCTTTAATTATGGAATCTTCAGGTCGTTAAACTTGGTCATTTTCAAATAATTATTTCCTTAGAAAATTACTTGACAATCCCACTACTGACACCATTTGTAACGGATTTCTCGATAAATCGTCTACCTTGTAACTCACTCTTGAGTTTGTTCACTAGGTTGTTTAATAAAAGCCAAAATACAATGGATATAACCTAATGTTTATTTCTAATCCAAACAACTTAACGCTTTATTTGTTTTTATTGTTCTTAACACGGCAACACTCTAACTAGAACTGTGTGTGCTGCACCATCCGGCAGCCCTTCTATACCACTAGAACATTCTGGCAACTACGAATTCGCTGTCTAGTTGCTGGTAATTTGTCGTCGGTTCGATTTTGATCTATCATCCGTATTCGTAACAATTTTATTTTAATCAATTGTCAATCAATTGGCTTTCACATTAAAAGTGAAGTGAACTATAAAAGCAAACGTTCGTCTTTCTTCAGTGCAGTGTGGTCTGAGTACTCTTGCTCTTTTTTGAATATGTATGCATGCTGGATAAAATAACGAATCTTTTTTCGACCTTCGAAGACCCCGCAGCGGAATCTGGCGTAGAGTCGAAACTGGCCATGATGTAGATTGCTATTAACAAAATAATTTATAAAGTCCGCTGACGAAGAGTGGCGAAGAGATTAACTATGGATCCACGAAGGAGAAAGTCATGACCTACAACTCAGACGCCGATGCTGTAGACCACTTTGCATCGGAATATGAGATGGGTGAAATCGAGAGAGATCTTATGGAGTACTCGAGTGACGTAGAAAGCACTGAGCAGAGTGAGTGTTCTTCGAGGTCTGAGCTTGCAGACATCCTCTCTAAACTATATACTTAGGGAGATCTTCTGAGCAAATTTCAAGCAGACGCAGATAAGAAATTAGTTAATACGTCTTCTTCAAATTAATCTGCACTCCAGAAAATTTGCTTCTCTAGCCATAATTGCCACACACACACACCACACATTATATGGCAAAGGGACATCAACGAAAGGGGTGAGTTGCTCTTTAACTATTTACTAGGTACTAAACTTTTGTTATGCAACAAAGGTAATGTGCAATATAATATTTAATATAACACTTGTGTTGAAAAAATTACTAAATAAGTTAACCCAATGGAGAGTTTCGAAGAGCACTCATTTTCGGATCACTGCTAAATTGAATGTATAATTGAAGGGAATGTAGACAGTGTCAAAAATTTCAGGAATCTTAGGAAAACGAACTAGAAATAGAACTTGCAAGAGCTAAAAAACGTAATCCTATGATTCCGCAATTTCAACCAGAGGGCAAAGAAGATTTGGACATAATTTGCGGCAAGTATTAGAGATGGCTTGTTCAACAACACGTAGTAGGGGGAGAATAAGGCTACCATGGCGGTCTGCCCAACTTAAGAGCTTACAGAAAGACTGTAAGAAAGCAATTTAATTTAGCTAAACTTTCCCAAGAAGAAGAGTACTGGCATAGCTATTATAACCACCCAAGGTCATTCAAAAAAGAAATAAAGCGAGCAAAGAAAAATTCGTGGAAATTGTTGAAATTAATGATATCTAGAATACGGCAGAAGCGTCTCAAATTAGGAAATATTGGCACAATCGTTTCATAACATTGGATACCTTCAGAACTCAGACCACTGCTGGCAGATATATAGTCAGATAATAATGTATACTGGGCGATAAGCAATTTCAAGCCCTTCAAATCGCCAGGACCCGACGGTTTATACCTGGCTCAGTTACAGCAGTCCCAGAGCTATATAATAACCTGGTTAACAATCATACTTAAAAGAGCGTTGCAATTAGACTATATTCCCTCGTTATGGAGGAATGCCAAAGTAATATACAATATATACTAAAGGCGAGCAATAGCTCACACACTAGCCCAAAGGATTTCAGACCACTTAGTCTTTCCTCATTCTTCTTAAAAAAGTTGAAAAGATTAATAGAATTACGCATAAGAAACAACTTAAACTCAAAAAAAAAACAAGTGGTTTCACAGCATGCATATTCTAAAGGAAAGTCCAAAGGGAGAGCACTAAAGTCAATGGTAGCAGAGATAGAAAAATCTTTAGAAGAAAAATAAACACCCATGTATCTTTCCTAGACATAGAAGGGGCTTTCAATTACATCTATTGTAGCTTAAGGCCATACTCAGCGGTTAAAGTTTTGGGCACCTCTGAACTTCTCGGGAATTTAATTGAACAGATGCTCATGTGCAGGTCGATAATTTCAACGCTGGGAGCTTCAGCGATGTGCAGATCTGTCCAAAGGGCTACACCTCAAGGAGGCGTGTTATCTCCACCCCTCTGGATCTAAAATGAATAAAATATTGGTAGATCTAAAAAAGAAGAGGGTACGTGTTGTGGCAGTTTAAGTTAGAGGTAAATTCTAGAATACCCTTTCGAATATACCTTACTCTAATAGGGATTAATGCCTCGGGTAGCTCATTGGCACCGCAGTTGTAAGAACTTTCCAGAACAGGCACTACACTATATGCCTATGACTACTTTGGAATCAATCCGTGATTTGCTTAACACGCAGTCAAACGTGGCATAAATTGAAAAAATAGCGGCCGCACATGCCGACAATAAAATTTAAAAGCTATGATATAAGATCTCTAGTAGGAGTGTTAACAGGTCACTGACAAGCCAGTAGACTAGGAATGTCATACAATGACTATTGTAGAAGTTGTCAGGCGATAGAAGAGAAGAATACTATAAAATATCTTCTATGCGAACTTATATTGGAAAAGAACCGCAACTATCGGTCGAGGTATTCTTGACGACGTCTCAGAGGTTGCACAGATAAAACATTTCGTATTGATTATCTTCATTAGAAGCACAGGGTGGTTCAGAGAGGAAACAATATAGTGAGGGGGCTTCAGTAGCGGCGGTATTACAATGGGCCTCCTTAAGACCTAGGTGCGTCGTTAGACAGCCACTCTTTTCTATTTTATATAACAAATTTATATATCGCTTTCAACTACTTGAAACATATTTCGCTTTATGGATTTTGTAGAAAATTTAATGCTTTTGAAAAAAGGTCTATTAGACAGAATTACATTAATATGAATGTATGCGCAAACGTTTGGCTCAAATTCGCTTAGGATCAATCCTTTAAGAACATCTACTGACAGTGGGAAAATGAATTAAATAGGGACTCTTTCCGTTTAACGGTTTTGTTAAAAACTTCTAGAAGTGCGATAAACAATAACCCAGGATGATACAAAAGGGCTCGGGTTGAAACTGGACTATGGGTGTGGTACCACCCACATTTAGGAGAAATCACATATCTCCGGATTTACTCGACCAAATTCAATACAAAACATTATTCTGCAATCGGACTACAATCACGCCAATTTCCCATATAGCACAACTTTAAATTAGATTCTTTCAATTTGCAGTACAAAAATCCAGTACCAATGAATATCTCAAGTCTGAAAATTGTCAAAATCAGGCTATAACTGTTCAAGCCGTGAGATATATGATTCAAATTTGGGAAAATGTTGTTTTTGATAGTAGTTTACCCTTAACAAGTAGATTCGGGTCAATACATTCCTTAGCCCCCATATACCTGATGCCACATATATTGGCCAATGTTGGAGCAGTTTTAAGGAAATGGAGAGAGGGTATTTTTTATAACAGTGTTTTTGTGTCCAAAATGGATAAAATCGGACGAAAACTTGCCTTAGCCCCCATAAAGTTGATATTCAGGATTTTAAAACAAACGTCAAACTTTACTCCATATACATATGTATTATATGTTCTCAAGCATACCTGAACAATGTCAAAAATTAATGCAATCAGCCATTCCATTTCTCTGCCCCTAATATTATATATCATATACACGGTGGCTATTATTTATTCACTTTTTATTGTATAGCAAATTTTATTTTATTTTACACAATTAATTATTTTTAAAAATTATGGACCGTAAATGACCTCCATGCTCAGCCACGCATATTTTATTAGAAAATTATTCATTGCAGCCTGAAGGTTTGAAGTCAGAATTGCCTCAATTATCGATTTAATGGACTGCTTCAATTCAGTCAGATTTTAGGGTTTTGTTTGTACACCTCTTGTTTGACATTACCCCATTAAAAAAGTCGGGTGCAGTCAGGTTAGCGTAGGAGGCCAGCGGAAAGTGGAGTTTCTTGATAGTAATTTCTTTTCTAATTTTCGTTGGAGCTCCGCAATAACCGGCTTGATTATGTGTGCAGTTGCTTCATCTTGTTGGAACCAAACGCTATTGAAAGGGATACGTCTTCGGCTCAGTTCTATGTAAAAAAACTCATTTATTATCTTTAAATAACGGTCACACCGTTTTCTTCAAAGTAGTTTGGCCCGACAATACACCTTGATGAAACTGCGCACTACACAATGATTCATTCTGGGTGAAGTTCTGTCTCGTGGATTACTTCTGAATTTGATTCACTTCATATAGGGCAATTTTGCTTGTTTACATCAGACGTAACCAATCAATTTTTCAAGTTTTTGTCTTTTTCGGCCATTGCAATCTTTTTTTGACAAAATTCCAGACGAATAGGCAAATCTAGAGGGTTTAATCGGCTTGTTATTTGAACTTTGTACGGAAACAGGCTTAAGTCATCATGAATTATCCGTTGTAACTCCAAGTAGGCCGTCTGCTAACTCCAAGTAGCGCCGATAAGTTGCTAGTCGAAACTCTTGGATTTGTCTGAATTGACGATGCAACAGCCGCGATTCTTTCTTGAACACTAACATACGGATCTCGATGGTACGGTCTTCTTGCGATACTTCCAGATTCGGTTCCTTTGGTTGCCGTTTTTCACATCAACTCAATATATTAATTTTAGCCTCTTCATTTGAGTTTATATCGCATATATCTCATTTGAGGATAAAACTAAGTGGGCCAATGACCCTCAAAATAACTTAATATGATACCAAATTTGATTGTAATCCATTCTCGCTTACGTCGAACAATGAAGATAAACCTTTTCGCTACATTTTATAATATAAAGTTTTGCCAATATCTGAAGGTATTTGTCGGCTTTGATCCTTGCAATTTACAAGAGTATAAAATGTTCGATCACATTTGAACTTAGCCCTTTCTTACTTGTTAATTTCTTGTTTTATTATTTTAACTTTTTTTACACTTTAAACTAAGTATTAAAATTGATTAGCAGCTTAAAGACATATTTAAAAAATAAGTTTAAAATAAAATATTGGCAGTTAAAATATATCCTTTTCAACAAATTAACACGAAGGAAAATAATTTGCTTATTACATATATCCAATTTTGTAATATTATGGTTAGTTCTTCATAACTCAGATAATTACAAATGTAATTTATCAATAAATAAACAATTATGTATATATTAACTGTAAAAAACTAATTTAACATTATAATTATTTCCATTAATAAAAGATACATTTATATACAAATACATGATTAGGTGCTGCTCACGCTGGTTCTTTTGAAATTTGCTTGTACAATTTTCTCACCCATATTTTCCTGCAAGGATAAGAAATTGTTTTAGATTAGAGGCTGCACTTGGTCATGCTGTGATAAATTATTAATCTAAAATCAAGCTTAATAGGAAAATATTATATACAATATTAAAGTGATTATTGACGGTCACATTATTCCAATATTACATATACTACAATTCTGTGGTCCAAGCCGCACATTTAGTTTATATTAAATGCGCACAATTCGTTTTTAGCTTGCAAAGTTTTAAACATCCTGCATACCATGGAAAATTTACGTTCAAACATTTTTTTCGTACAAAACATTTTTTGGTGTTCTTTGAGGCAAAATATTGGCCACGTTTTTTTATTTCGACTCAATATGAAAAATTTTGGACTTGTGAATTTTCAAAATTTCAACGCTCGAAAAAAGTACCTCTCAACATTTGCGTATAAGTTAACACATAATAAATTGTCACAGTTAAAATACCTAAAATTTAATCAGATGCCGGGAATTCGCTCAGTTAATTCAACTCTTTGATATTTCATACAAATAAAACAGCTGAATCCGATTCGAGGAATACTGTTAATTGCGCTAAAGTGCTGACCTTGAGTATTGCACTACTGCCATACTGCAATAGCCAATGCTCGCTTTGCTGCCTTGGCTGAATAAAGCAATTAAAGAAACATTTTTGGCTAAAGCATATAAAATTAATTTTGTAAAATCACTATCTGTTTCGTAGTGTCGGGGTCCAGTCCAAAAAATTTAAAAAGCGTATTTTTATTTAATTTATACAAAGAAAATTACTTCATTATAAAAATAACTAGTTACCCATATTTTCTCAACTTTGCTATGAGATATAATTTTATCGACGGTTATTTTATAAGCAAAAAGTACATATTTGACGGTAAATATTTTTTTTCCATTTTGAACTTTTCAGTTTATTCAACTTTTTTTTTTAAGAAAAATTTACATTAGGCTTTTAGTCACTAATTTATACATTTCGAAATGGAAAGTACTAAATTGTAATTTTGACGAATTTTCGAAACTATATTTCTCGCGTTTGTGGCTAGCGCAGTAAGCTCTTTCCACGCGCGCAGCACAAGAACAGCGGCATGCGGGATCAAACATGCTTCGCCTCGATAGAGTACGAACAAGTGCGGATGTTGAAGATTAAAAATTTATTGCAGACAGAGGTTTTAACGGTCCATTCTCAAACTTATACATTCGTGATATATCCATTTGGCAAGACTTTGAATATTTGATGCTGACGAAACAAAAACACTTTGTCACCTTCCCCGAATGGCATATGAAAATGCTACTTGACTTTGACGTTGCCTACATAAAAACGCGAGCACACTAGTGGTGGATCCACAGACAAGCCAGGAATAAATCTTCTGGGAACTGCTGTGAAAGTTGTTGCGTCTACCACGTCTACTTCCCATATAACACAATTTTAAATTCCATCTGATTATTTCTCTTCAAACATCAAGTAATATATCGAAATAAACCTTTGCTCAAATAGAGCCTTTAAGGTATGCCGTGTCAAGTCTAAAAATTGTCAAGCTCGGACCACGAGTCAATCGGGTCAACACATCCCCTAGCAACCTATAACTTAATTTTAATTCTAATTAGAATATTGTTTATCCAGATTTATGTTGCAAACAGAACAGTTAGGCTCTGATCCAAAAGAAAATAAAAAACGATAAAACAATACGCTTAAATTTTACTTATATTAGTGATGGTATATGAGGTACCTTACGTGCTTCGATTAATGCACAGTCAGCGATAATTATTGCTTTCTATTTTTATTAAACATATTGTTGAGTGCATTCATACAAACGGTGAGTCTTGAATTGTTTAAATGTACTATGTATATGTGTGCGTATACTTTTCTCACTCTTTTAGCGAACCGTTAGTGTTTCATTACAGCGTCGATTTAAAAATTAATTATTTAATGACATTTTTATATACATTGACGTATGCAGTCATATATATTTCCATTCACACATATACGCACATAGATAAATATTGTAACACCACTATTAATGTAGCAGTTTGTTTTTAATTTGATAAACCTATTGACGCTGGTTCTGTACTTGAACGACGATCACGAATATGTCGTACTGGTTTGGCTGAAATTATGTGTGATGTTATAGTATCTACGGATACATTGGAATGATGGACGCGATATGTCCACATTGTGATGCGGCTAACATTCCAAGGGAACGCCCGGCATGTGTTATGCTATTGCCAGCATTAGAAACTCCGCCCGAACCATTGATTTAATTTATTTTTGGAACATTTCAACCGCACTTGTGAGTCATATTCAACAATACAATTCGACATTTCAAATGACATCTTTTGGTGCTAATAAAATGATTGGAGATAATTTTATGCCGACGTTTAAGGTAAATAAACAAGGTAAATCAACTTCAACAGCAAAATCCCATGTTTATCAAGTATTTAATAGCTTTAAAAATTCTCACTGATCAAACATCTACCTAAAATTGCATAAATTTTACAGATTCAGGGCCAGATTTATCATCAAGCTGATGAACATGGGGAATTTGATCAACGTTGTGCAATTGTTTCGAATACAATACGAGAAATTATTCGTGAGTTACAAAGGTTTTTCTATCAGCATAACGCATTAGTTCAATTGTTCAAAATTGTTTCCGACCGTATGCCATCTGATAATAACAAAATCGTAATAAGGACTGATAGAATACCTTTTGGAGAGTATGCAAGGCGATTCAATTCACCGACAATTGATGAGGTTGCAAATGTAATTTGTGGTGATCAGTTTCAATCCCGTGATATTGTACTTCATCGCATAAATGCGCAATTGCACCGTGTTTCGGAACTACATCGTAGTTACGATGCATTACCATACCCAATATTGTATTGTAAAGGTGACGATGGCTACCATATCAATATACTAATGATTGATCCACCAACAGGTAAATAATTTACCTATTTTCAGTGTGATAACAATGCATTTGTATACTTTTCTAAAGTCACATTATTTCAGGTCTACATGTACAGAAAAACGTTATTGCCATGAATTTTTATTCGTATCGAGTGAGATGTGGTAAACTAGGTATTTCATCAGTACATCGTTGATATGTCTGCCAAAATTGAAAATGAACGACTTAATTTTATTCGTTTTAACCAAGCAAAATTAAGATCCGAAGAATATATTAATTTGCAAGATGCGATAGCGAATAACGTTAATATTAATGCCATCGGTCGTTTATATATTGGTAGGCCACGGCATATGAACGAATATGCACAACACGCAATGTCTTATGAACGAAAATACGGTCGACCGGATCTGTTCGTTACATTTTCATGTGATCCGCAGTGGGATGGGATCAAAAATAATTTATTTGAAAGACAGGCGCCAACTAGCCGTCATGACATTACAGCACGTGTTTTTGGGCAAAAATTGAAAGCACTTATGGATTTAATTGTGAAATTATGTGTATTTGGAGAGGTACGTTGCCATATCTACTCCATCGAATGGCAACAAGGGGATTGCCGCACGCACAGATATTAATTTGCTGGAACATAAAATAACTCCGGATCAAATCGATAACGTTATATCAGCTAAAATTCATGATCAAACTGTTTATCCTAGTTATTTTACGTTGTCGTTAAAAACATGATAGATGGTCCGTGCGGGGAGCTAGATATGGATTCGCCAAATATAATTGATAGAAACTGTGCCAACAACATGAAACAATGCCCGAGGCAATCAACTTCAGACACAATAACAGGCAATGACGGATATCCGTTGTATCATCGTAGATCACCTAATGATAATGGCAAAACGGCAACTATTAGAATGCGTAACCAGGACGTTGAAATTGATTATCGTTGGGGGTTCCTATTGTCCATTATTATCGAAAATTGTTAATCCTCATATAAATGTGGAGCATTGTAATTCAGTCAAATCCATTAAATATATTTGCAATATGGCTGTTTTCGGTGTTGCTGGTGATAATAGATATGATGAAAATACTCAGTATCAAATGGGGCGCTATATTAGTAGTAACGAAGCTGGCTGAAGTATTATGTCGTTTCCAATGCACGAAAGACATCCTGCGGTTGTTCACTTGGTTGTGCATCTTGAGTATGGCTAACGTGTTCATTTTAATGAAGCAAATGTATTGGCAAGAGCAGCGCAACCATCAGCGACTACGTTGACCGCTTTTTTCCGATTATGCGAAATGTTTGTTATATAAATTTATAATATTCTGAAGTGCATCAGTATTACCAATGGACTGTGTTTTTGGAAAAATTTCAAAGACGTAAACAAGGAACAGAAGTCAATGGGCATCTAGGCATTTTCCAAACAGATGAGAGAATATACAGTACATCCAAACATTATATTATATAAATATTAGTTAACGTCAATGACCTAAATCTTTGCATCTACTTCAGCTCATCCACAACAAATGCGGATGCTATTTGCAAATTTATTATCAACATGTATAACATCAAATCCACTTGAATTATGGAACAAATATAAAAGTTATATGGCACAAGATATTTTAATTCGTATGCATCATCATGCAAGAAAACCTGATTTGTTGATTACCTTAGAAATATACAACGAAGCTTTAATAATAATTGAAGATATTTGTCTAACGATTGCAAATAAAGCATTAGTATAATTGGGTATGACCGGACCATGATGTGTTTGATCATGAAATGCAACGTGAGCAGGAATTCAATTCTAATGATTTGCGTTTATTTGCACAACAGAATATAACCAAAAAGAATATTCAGCAACCACCGCGCACACTGCATTAAAATTGCCATTGAATGTACAGGTGATTGAAACTCCAACTTGCAATAAGAATAAAAAATGTTAATTTGTCGGTTATTCAGAGAATTCGAATTGATTAATCTATAACTATTTCTCGCGTCGTTATCTTTTTTAAAAATCATTTTCATATCAGAATGCAGCTGGTGAAACTGGTGAAGAGTTCGTATAGTCCAGTCATTATAGTAAGTTCACCTCGGAATTCAGATACCCAGCTGTAAGTCTGTAAATACTTGTATATTGACACCCTAAAAGTTGTCTCAAAACCTACATACGGTAGGGTGTACGTAACTATTAAATTTCAAGGTCAAAGGTCACAAAAATCGCGCTTTTTTTTTTGTAAATATCTCATTTCCTATGGGTTTTTTGCTATTGGTATTTATTATCAATATTGTAGAATACAAAATTCTCTACAAATTTTGTTTAAAAAATTTTTTCATACGGTGAACCGTTTTCGAGATAGAGGGCTTAGAGCGCGCGGTCACAGCATCACTTCAGGTCAACCGGTGCCTCCGATCAAAAACGCGCCATATATAGTTGATGAACTATCCATAAATCAATGATTATAAATATTTGTCAATTTTTATTAACTATTATATTATATTTTATAATTTTTTCCTAACCTATCCACTTTTTATTCAGTATAAATTTATTTAACAACTCTTACCTGCCCCTGAAATTGCAGTAATGTTAATGAAAATATAGGAATTATATTTGAATTTAAACCTTATTAATATTAATAACTTCTTACATGATAAAAAAAAAATATAAAAAAAATATTAAAAAATATCATTCAATACATTTATTTTTATTAAAAGTAAAAAAATGGAATAAAGGGTACAAAAACTACAATTTATAATTTTAATCATCTTCATCGTCGTCTTCCGGCTGCTGGTAAATTTCAAACTGGTCTTCATTATCGTCTTCAACGACATTTGTTTCAAGTTCTTCCATGATTTCGGGGTCAAAAGTTCCATCTTCGTTAATGTCGCTCTGATATGGTAGAGCATTGAGACAAGCTTGCCCATTACATTGGCCACAAGCTAAAGAGCATTGCAAGCCCGCTTTCCTGCATCCGCATCGCGAACCACAACCACTCTTGCAGTTGCAGAAAATTGTATTTAGCAAATGTTCAGGAGCAGGTGGTAAAATTGTCATGATAGGCTCCAGAAAATCGTTTCGCATTGCCCAACCCCATACCTGGGGTTCCAAATCATGCCCTAACCAAGTTTGAACTTGATAATATACACGTTCGAAATGTTGATGAGCAGCTGCACTTGTTGGTGGAATATGTGAAAGCTGCACAGGTTTATTAAGTTTTGTAGACTTGACGTAATGCATATAACGAAGATGATCGAGACTTTTCACAGATTTCGGAGCATTATAGACTGCCAATAAGGTTTGAATTCCACTCTCTAATAATCTCTGGGCCGAACAATTTTCTTCCTCAAATGCTGCAGCTAGTTCATCCAAATTGGTCAGTTTCTCAAAAACTTTTAAAAATGTTCTTTTTCCTTTTTTGAAAGCGCAGAAGTTGTGTCACATCCACTTAATGCGTGCAGAAATAAAATATGTGTTTTGGAATGAGGATAATTATCAAAACTTTTAGTCGAGTATATCTCCGTTTTTACATTGCCTTTCCCAACTTTTTTAAAGAAAATTTCTTGTTCGTAAGACAGTGTACGCCCAATTAAATTGATGAGTAAATCAATATCTTGTCCTATTATTTACAAATTTACAGATTTTAAAGCAGATGCACTTAATTACTTTCTAATTAAAATGTCATAAGTGTTAATGGGAATATAATTATAGTAAGATTTAAGTTTTTCCCTTCATTATTTTTTAATTTTAGGAAACGGTGATCAGTATTATTGAATAGATAAAGATTTAAGGCATGAAGAAAATGATAAAATATAATATAATAGTTAATAAAAATTGACAAATATTTATAATCATTGATTTATGGATAGTTCATCAACTATATATGGCGCGTTTTTGATCGGAGGCACCGGTTGACCTGAAGTGATGCTGTGACCGCGCGCTCTAAGCCCTCTATCTCGAAAACGGTTCACCGTATGAAAAAATTTTTTAAACAAAATTTGTAGAGAATTTTGTATTCTACAATATTGATAATAAATACCAATAGCAAAAAACCCATAGGAAATGAGATATTTACAAAAAAAGCGCAAAAACCGATTTTTGTGACCTTTGGCCTTGAAATTTAATAGTTGCGTACACCCTACCATATGTAGGTTTTGAGACAACTTTTAGGGTGTCAATATACAAGTATTTACAGACTTACAGCTGGGTATCTGAATTCCGAGATTCTTACCTAATTTAAGCTTAAATGACTGGACTAGTAAGCTTTAACGTTAAAGCAGGTGATACCAGCGCGGGTTCATATACTAACACAAGCAAACAAGTTAATTCTGAGCGAAGTATAGTGGGAAGTGATGCAGATTCAGTTTCAAGTTATGAAGAAGAAGCTTATGTTCCAACAGCTGATGTTAAACGCAAGAGAGGTCGTCCAAAACTTATGAGAGGGGGCAAAGTCGGCAGGCCGCGAAAAAGCGAGTGAACAGTCACAAGAGTTGTTAAGTCAGGTAAGAACTTGTGCACATGATCCTAAAACTGTGGCAGAAGCAATGTCAGATGACTATTCTCAGTTTTGGAAAGACGCGATGAAGTTGGAATATGATTCTTTAATAAAAAACAATACGTGGGAGTTAGTAAATAAACCTAAATCAAAGAATATTATTGGGAGCAGTACAAAACGGGTGTTCAGTACAAAACGACACGCTGATGGAACTGTGGAGAAACACAAAGCGCGTTTAGTTGCCCAAGGCTATGCCCAAAAATACAATGTTGACTATAGTAATACTTACTCACCAGTAGCACGGTACTCTACAATCAGGCTAATTTTGGCATTATCAGCGCAGCATAAATTAATCGTCAACCACATTGATATTGTGGCAGACTAGAAGAAAAAGTTTTTATACGGCAGCCGGAGATGTTTGTAAATAAAGCTAATCCACACAAAATATGTAAGCTCAAAAAAGCATTGTACGGGCTAAAACAAGCAGGTCGTGAATGGAATCGTAAAATCGACGACATTTTACGGAGTATTGGCTTTGAAAGTTTCACCGACGGTTGCGTATATCATCGTATAAAAGCTGATAACATCGCCATTATAGTATTATAGGTTGATGACATGTTGATAGCATCCTCTTCAGAAAAACTGATAGAAGGCATAGTATCCGATCTCAATGCAAATGTGGAAGTCGTAGATCGAGGCCCAATCCAGTATTTTTTAGGCATGGAAATTTCGAGAGACTACATGCGGGAATATTCAGCTTCACCAATCTCGTTTTACAGAGAAGCTATTGAAAGAATGGGGTATGTTCGATTGTAAATCGTCACCAACTCCGTTGCATGTGGAAAAGTCTTGAATAAGTGCGAAAATAAAAACTGCAGTAAAGTTTTCGACACACAGACATATCAGAGACTCAATGGATCATTGACTTACTTAGCCATGATATCTAGACCTGATATCGCTCACACTGTGTTAAAATTATCTCAATTCAATTCACATCCCCACATTGATCATTTCGGAGCAGCAAAGCATGTACTTCGTTATCTAAAAAGCACAACGAAAGGTATATTGCCCTATATTTCTAATAATGATTACTTAATTTGTTTCACAGATGCCGATTGGGGGTCCGATGCTACGGATCGAAAATCATATAGAGGCTATGCAGTCTTCTGTGAAAAAAACAGTAGTATCATTGAGTTCAAAGGAAGCAGAATATGTAGCCATGTGCCAGGGATCCAAGGAAGTTGCCTTCTTAGGGAGTCTATTTAAGAAAATTGGCTTCCTTTCATACATAAATTCTGCTACTAAATTTTTCTCGGGCAACCAAGGTGCGCAATTTGCAGTGAAAAATCCAATAGTCCACAAAAGGAGCAAACATATGGAAATGGAGAAAATATATCTCGATTGCAGAAAATGTAGCTGATATTTTCACGAAATCTCTTCCAAAAAAGAAACATAAACGTTTTTGTAAATTGCTCAACATAAGGTTCTGTTAAATATCTATGTAATTAGAGTTTGTTTTCTCATATGTAATTAATAATGTGGATTCAAATGTTAAATGTTGTTTGAAGATAATTTGGTTTGAGTCGGAGTATGTTACTTCTAGTTGGCAAAACATTTCGTATCGAACGGACGTCTTTGAATTAAATATTCTAACAATATCTAACGCATTGACCGATATTTTCGGTAAAAAGTCAACTTTAGGCACCGGTGTCCAGTACCTAGGGGCTTGAAAAGTTCTAGTTCGATTTAGACAATTTTTGGTCACAAGGTGACATACCTTAAATACATTGTTCACGCAAAGTTTTACCCCGATACAATTACTGTTGCTTGATTTGATTAGTGGAAAGTGAAAGAATCAGATGGAATTTAAAATGGGGTTACATGGGAAATAGGCGTGGTTGTAATCCGCTTTCGCCCATTTTCGCACTATAACATAGAAATATGAGTAGAATATTATGCACCGAATTTGGTTGAAATCAGTTAAGCGATATGGGTTTTCACCTAAAAGTAGGCGGTGCCACGCCCATCGTCTAATTTTGAACGCGGTTTAATGTCTCTGGCGTGTTTAGTGCTTGATTTATCGCGCTTTTAGTAGTTGTTAACCCATTTTGACACTGATAAAA